AATGTTCCCTTTTGGATGCCCCCAGTTTGAAGGCATTTGTGTCTGTGATTTCATTGCACCTGCCTGGATCCAGCTTCATTCCAATAGAAGGAAGATAGGGGCCTCTGTTAGAGGCAGAAATGTTACAGGTGTCTCCGTAATTGTGGGCTATTTTATCTATAGAAGATAATCTCCCCCAGTTACAGTACTTTAGAATTAGATCAGTGTTTCTGAACCTCGGCAACATCAAGCTGTGTGGTTTCAAATTCAGTTTCAATTTTTTTCACCGTGGGATATGTTGGCATTTGGGGAATCTATTTTTCCTTGCATCTACACAAGAAGCCACATACTCCAAAAGTATAACAGAGCAACTCTCCTGCCTAACAGTTAGTAAAATATTTTCTTCACATTTTTCATACTCAGTTGTTCAAAACGTATTTTATGTGGCTGTGACTGAATGGTTCAAGTCTTGTTTCATCAGTTCAAAGCATATTGTTCCAAACTATTTCAGCTTTTTCTCTTTTTTTTTGCGTACCTTCAATCGGGGCTTATTAACTGTGAAACTTTAGGGCAGTGGTGGCGAACCTATGGCACGGGTGCCAGAGGCAGCACTCAGAGCCCTCTTTGTGGGCACGCGCGCTGTTGCCCCAGTCCTAGGCTTTCAGCTGGGTTTTATAAAACCTTTTCACTTTAGGCCTCCGCCGCCGTGTGCAAAAAAAAAAAAAAAAGGTTCAATCAATCAGTCAATTTCAACTTCTCGAGGAAAAAAAATATCTTGCAAAGTTGGAATTGATTGAACTTTTTAGTCCCACCCAGTCTGCCGTTACCACCGCAACCACGCCCATCCAATGGGCCATACCCAGCCAATGGGCCACACCCACCCGGCACCCGACGATGCATAAGTGGGTTTTGGATTGCAGTTTGGGCACTCGGTCTCTAAAAGGTTTGCCATCACTGTTTTAGGGTTATGGAAGGACTTGATGCTCCATGAGTGGTTATTGTCATTAAAAAAATGTTATTCAAATGCAAATGCTTTCTTGATCAGAGATTTATTTATTTTTTTTGAAAAAGTAACAGTTTCCTCAACCTGAAAAGTTTGAAAATTTCTGTTCCTGATGACACTTGTTCTGAGGTCACAGAGGTTTTCTTCTGACAGTTGTTCTACACAGATTGTTGAATAAGTCAGTGTTTTTCAATTTTAGCAATCTTAAGAATTGTAGATTTCAGCTACCAAAATTCTGGGAGTTAAAAGTCTACATATGTTAAAATTGTGAAGGCTGAGAAATAGGGCAACAAGCAACACCAAATAGCGGACCTGTGGATATTCTTCCAATGTCAGCTACAGGGGCTCATTTGCAGTGATTTCTATTGTGTAGATCTGGTCAATTTCTAACAGAGCGGATGGGGTTGGAGGTTGGTTTATATATTCCAAATCTTGCCCTTCAGTTCAATTATTCCATACAATTTCGATTTCTTAACAATGTTGCTCACAGTTAAAATTGCTGAGTTTTGTAGCCTTCCCCTGCCTTCTAAGTTTAAATTACATTAGCTTTGTCTTCAGTCTTAACAACTTAGCTGTTTGTTGAAAACAGCCCGAACAATCACAATCTGAGATTGTGGTGAAAGGAATTGTAGTATTTGTGAAAATTGTCCTCACGTCACTAACTGTATAGTAGTCAATTGCTTTTGGGGCTTTATTTACAACTCTGTAAGCACTGTTAACAAACAAGAGAAAAAGGAAAAAATAACACTAATCAGCTGGAGGGATGTCCAGATTTCTGCACTACTACATTCACTGTTTTCGTATTTACAATCTGTAAACAACTGAGCGTGAACGGCAGAACTGTTGAGCTAAACTTTGTACATCACAGAGGTTATGTCAGTTTCTGTTCACTTACGGATTAAAGGCGCTTAAACTTTTGCATGCAACTGGGACTCAAGAACAAGACGTCTGTTGCTAAATTCTGTTTCAGATCTCTGAAGATGCTAACAGCACAGCTAGAGAAATCTCTGCATATACTGCCTTGCACACATTAGCTAGAAGTAATGTCATTTCACACCAATAAACTGCTGAGGGGTCCTTGATGCTGAGCTTGTTTTCTTGCAGACATTTCATTACCCTAACTAGGTAACATCATCAGTGCTAGTAAGGAGTGCTGTTTGATGTCAGTTTATATTCTGGTGTCTTGCCTGTCTGGGTGGATGGAGGGAGGTCTTAGGGATTCTTTGGTTGGGCTGTTTACTAATGGCTCTGTGGCAGTTTCTTGATTGAGGTATTGCTTACTTGATTGTTGGTCTGATGTTGACATTGGAGTTAATGAATGCTGATCTGAGTGCTGATTACCACTGGAGAGGTGCTGGAGTCTTTTTTGGGCTGCTTGATTGTCTTTTTTTGCATAATCTATAGATGTTGTTAACGTCTGCTGTGAAATAATAATAATAAACTGCTGCTGTGAAAAAAATTACACTGTAAAATGTTGTGCCCAATTCAGTAAGTTTGGGTAAGCTTGCTTTGAGGTCCCAGTTTTAGCTTTCTGGTGCCAGAATGGGGAGCAACCTCAGCACGTTTTTAAGAAGGGTGGACTGCATCTCCCAGAAGCCCCCAGCCAGCTGGGGCATTCTGGGAGTTGTAGTCCACCCACCGTCCAAGATGCCAAGTTTGAAAAACACTGCTTTGAGGCACAACAGCCAAGAATCAGTTAAACGGGTCAGGTCCTGATGTTCTCCTCTACTTAGAATTGCCTACCCCTGGCCTAGAATCATTCCCTTGTTGGAATATGGTGTCACATGACTGCTTTATGACGTCAGCGGGGGTTTTGTCATCAGCCGGCTGCCACTCCGCGAGGCGTCAATGGGCCTTCCCCGTCAACGCGGCGTGATCCCACTTGAGGCGGCTATGACATCATTGTGCGCGAGACTGCGGAGAGGAAACTCTTGACTTCCTCGCCTTACGTTCGCCGCCGTAAGGCTGTGACGTCACACACACCCCGCACAGGACGGAAGTGACTCCGCGGGGGTTGAGGCGTGGAGGGCACGACGTCCCTCCTCCGCCCGCTCCGAAATGGCGTTTCATAGGAGGAACTATCCCTCGGCTCTCTTTCCGGCGGAGGGATTTTGCAGCAGCTTCCCTCCACTCGGAAGGGGGGGAGCGGAAGGATATGACGCTGTGGGCGGAGTTGCGTGCCGTGCGCAGAGAGGAAGGAGATCCGGCAGAGACAGCTAGGGAGTCGGGGGGCAGCAGCTGAGACGAAGCGAGGAAAAAAAAAGGGCGACGGGACCTCCCCCCCACCCGCGGGGCAAGGGGATGCAACGCGAGCAAGGCAGCTGCTCTCCTTCCGCGCCGCTGACCCTGCAGGCCGCCGCCACCGCCCCTCCCCCATCCTTACCGCTCCGCTTCGGTCAATCAGCTGGCGGGGGGGGGCCCGCCAGGCGAGCCCCGGAAACCGGCCTCGCTGCCCGTCAGGCGTAGAGGCTCGCGGGACACCCCGTCGCGCGCCCGAGACGGGCGGCGGCGGCGACTTGAAATTTACCCTCGACAGCCGGCGCTCTTAAAGGTACAGCCTGGCGGGGGGGGGGGCGGCGAGAAGAGAGAGGGGACGCTTTCCGCCGGAGGACAAGAAAACCCCCTGAAGCCTCCAGCTCCTGTCAATGGATTTAAAGGGAACTCGGCCCTCTTAAAGGGGAGTTGTCTTCAGGCCTCATTGTGACTTAAGAGGGAGGGCCGGCTCTTAAAGGGGCCGCTGGAGGACTTGGAAGGCTGGACGCTTAAAGGGGAGTTGCGAGCCGAGCCGAAGGAAGCGCTTGGAGAGGCCTCTTTAATGCCGCCGCTGGGGGGGAAAAGTGGCTGTCTGACGAGGAGAACTTAAGAAAAAAGAAAAAAAGAAAAGAAAAGAAATCAAGGTGCTTAAAGGCGAGGCCACGCTTCGACAGGAAACGTGTGGCGGACTTTTAATCGGACGCTCTTAAAGGGGATGGAAACGAAAGGAAGCAGGTTCTCAAGCCTGGACTTTTAAAGGGCAAGGTCATACCTTTCAGGAGGAATCCGGGAGATCATCATCATCATCATCATCATAACAATAATAAAACCACGTAAGGTTTGCAAAGAAAACGTGGCTTTCGGAGGAAATGCTGCCACGGGAATGATTCTGGGAGCCCTCGTCCTCCAAGGGAGGAAGCCAATGCTGTCTTGAGAGGAAGCCATTTGCCATTGTTGGCAGAAAAGCCGCATCTGCAGTCTTAAAGGGGAGGCTCTTTGAAGCGCTTAGCCCTCTCTGGGTAAATGTAAAACAAGCCCCCCTTCCAGGCAGAAGCCCTGAGGCTAGATTATGCTTGTTAGAAACAGGTAAACATAAACAATATATCTCTTTTAAACAAAGATCGGCACTTAAACCAGAAGCTTCAAGGGAGAAGCAGCGACCACCGGGCAAGTATCAAAAGTTGATTCAAAGGGATTGTCAGTTTGGTCGCTTTCCAAGAGGATCCATCTCTCCGTACTGATTCGCTATCGGAGGGATGTAAAATTCCGATTAAAGCAAGTTTTTTTTTTGTGTTTGCTTTTTGTTTTGTTTTGTTTTCCCCCTTCTGGACCCAAAGGTGAAGTTGGGTCCTTAAAAGAGAGTTCTGTTCACCGGCACAGGCTAATTTCCTGCTAAGTTGGTTATTGGATCGCTTTCGATCTTGAAGAATTTTATTTCAAAAGTATTTAATTGTTTTGTAATTGACTGGGTTTGACCTTTAGGGAGGAAGTCCCAAAAGAAGAAGTTGCCATTTGTATTTTCCTTAAGAGAGAATTAAACCTGAGCAAAAGTTACTTCTTTGACTTTCCGGAGCAGAAAAAAGGAACGTTTTGAACTTTGATTTTCAAATGTAAATCAAGGAAAGTTGTGGACAGTTAAGCTATAGGAGCCAAGGACTTCTTGTAAAGGAGTACAAAATTCACTTTTTCTCTCTCCAAAAGCAATATAAAGGAGAACCTCTTTTTCAGGAGTGTGGTACTTTTTTCTTGGTGGCTTCCTCAGAAGAGCAGAAACCCAGCAGGGACAGCTGCAATGCTTTTGGCTGGTGAGGGGTGAAGGGTGTCTCCCTTTTTTCCCCACGTGCCTGCAACAGCCATTGGACACAACACAATTTATTTTCTGTACCTCAGAAGGGAGCATAATGGAAGGAACAACAGCAGCTCCTACCCCATGTTGGAGCGGAGGAGGAGGCAGCAGTAGCCGAGCACGGAGACAGCGACGTTGCTCACGGCGGGACCGTGAGAGTCGTTGTACACGCCGTAGAGGAAGCCGTCTTGGAGACCCTCCCCATCGGGGCTTGTCCTCTTCCTCATCTTCAGCATCAGACAGTGAAGGCCCCTCGCCACCTGCCCCTGTGGCTCCTAGCAAAGGACGCCCCCTGCAACAGCAGCGGCGACGGCGACGGCCCCTCCGACGGCGAAAGAGAGTTTCTGGATCCTCTTGCAGTCGTGAGGAGGAAGAGGAAGAGGAGGAGGAGGAGGACCTCATTGATGGCTTTGCCATTGCAAGCTTTGTCAGTTTAGAGGCACTTGAGGTGAGGTGGTCCCAGCCTGTTTCAACAGAGGGTCATGTCCTTTCATGCATTATAAGGCTAAAATAATAGATTGGTTCTTGCCCTTGTCTTTGGGCCTTGTCCGCAATATGATACAGGAAAGAAAGAGGAAGTAAACTGGAAATCCACCTCTTTTTATGGAGCTGTGCAGATAAATAATAGTTCTAATAGATTTTGCAGAATGTTGCCTGCTAGGGTGGGTCATTTTGGAAATGAAGATTTCTTTCTTCTTAGTAGCAAGTAATTTTTAATGTCATATTTTGTTACCATGGAACTTCTAGTTAAAGGAAACTTACAGTGATGACCTCAGTTGTTGGTAAGAAATACCAGATGAAACTGAATTGTTGCTAAGTAGAGGTAGATTTATACTCCTTAAAAAAGATTGCCAGTGGAAACTCTGTGTAAGAACAAGGCAAAGGGGGATTTCCAGCTGTAATTGGTGAAATTCAGAAATTTGAAATTGTTTTTTTATACCCAGAGGATCAAGGGAAGATATAAAAAGAAAACAATGGCATTATAGTCTTTGGTTTCTACATCCTGAGTTACGGTGACCAAAGATTAATACTTTTTATTTACTGTGATTCTGCTTAAGTAGAGAAACAGTAAGATTCTTAAGGTGAGATGGAATGAGGCTATACCTAGGCAGTTGAGGTGCAGTCAGAGAAGTTTCCATAATCAAAGTTGTACAGTGGTCTTGGCTGACTGTGTACACTTAGAACCACTTACTTGTTTATATAAAGACTACGAAATCCTTGTTAATTTTCTTGACAAGGCCCATCTCACAGTAAGGATGTATCTTAGTGTTTCTGAATTTGCATAGTGAGCATATTCTGTGCCACAGGACACAAAAATGTACGATGAACTTAAAGCCTGGAAATACTGAGTGAGCTGCTAAATGATTTCAGATCAGCTTATTTCCTCCTTGATCGGGTAGGAGGAACTGCTCATTTATTATGCTTGGTGGAAGAGATGTATTTTTAGGTGTGAGTTTCAGCTTACCCCTCCTAGGCATTTTGGTAGGGCTGGGATCTGTCCCTGTAAAGTACACATTTCTTGGGAGGGGAAAATCAGAGGATTTCAATAAGCAGTGCAGCTATTGGACCACATGTAAGGCCCAGCTGTTTTACCTGCTGAAGCAGAGCGAAAGCATTCCTGCTTTACTCAGGAATGTTCAAGGCTGAGCGTGTAGACTAGTTTCAGACTGGATTCGCCAGTCTTTCTGGCTAGGCAAGATTGGGTGAGGAGCAGGGCGTGAATCCAGGTGTCTTTACCAAACTCCGAAGTAGTGCAATACACTTCTAAGAAACATTACGACACCATGCACAGTCAAGCAATACCAGAGAAAAGTATGCAATAACCTTTAACACAATAAATACCCTGCCATCCAGAAATATACCATCCCTTCTACGATTTATCTTTTCTAGAGCTCTTGTCCTCCTCTGATATCCTTCCAACGGTCGGTATTTTCCTTGAACACAAAAGGGTCTTTCGCAAAAATGACGCCCTCTCCCCGAGCAGTGTTGATCATTTTGGTTTAGGACAGCATTTGTTGTAAATCAGTAGCCTTATGCCTTATGTTGTACTATGAGTCTGTTCGAATAGTTATTGGCAAGCTAGCTTCTTTATCCTCAAAGTCTGATTGTGGCATTTGGGACACGACTGACCAGATTTATTTATTTATTTATTGCCCGTATCTGTCCTTTTTTAAAAAGAGTTTAGAGCAGTGATGGCGAACCTTTTAGAGACCGAGTGCCCAAACTGCAACCCAAAACCCACTTATGTATCGTCGGGTGCCGGGTGGGTGTGGCCCATTGGGTGGGTGTGGCTGCGGTGGTAATGGCAGACTGGGTGGGATTAAAAAGTTCAATCAATCAATGCCAACTTTGCAAGATCTTTCCCCCCCCCCCAAGAAGTTGAAATTGATTGATTGATTGAACCTCTTTTTTTGCAAACGGCGGCGGAGGCCTAAAGCAAAAAGGTTGTATAAAACCCAGCTGAAGGCCTAGGACTGGAGCGACAGCACGCGTGCCCACAGAGAGGGCTCTGCGTGCCACAGGTTTGCCACCATGGGTTTAGAGCAATGTAAAAAAATCTTTTCCCCCTTTTTGTTTCTCTTTTACCCTACTAGAATGTTAGACTGAAAGAACAGTGAGCCTCAATTTAGTCTGTGGACCTATTGATTTAAACCAGGTGTCCTAGTTCTTAACCTTTTAACAACTACTTTTTACTGGCTTTCGATATGAAAGTGTTTTCACAATGTCTAGGATATTATTCTACCAATAATTATATTGGGATTCCCACTTCTTTTTCCCTCAGATGCCAGGATAGTTCATTTGTGCAGTATCTGCAATGCAGTGCAAAACAAAATGTAAATATTGTTTCTGGATCTGAAATAAATAGCTGTTAGTGCTGATAGTTAAGTAGCCAGGCTAGATATCTCCCATTTTGTCCCAAAGTTTCGCATCGCATTTTGTAAGGTGTTTTCCAGTTTCTATATTTAAACGCACATGTCTACATCCCCACAGCAGCAGCAGCTGCTCTATCACAGCTTTTATTCAGAGGGTAGATTGTCTGCAGCCATTGTAACGCCCACCTTGTCACTCCTGCAGAAGGATGCAACCTTGAAGACTCCAGAGCGATTGGAGCTTCGGCTGAAACATTCAGGAAAGAGGAAACGGGGTGAGGGAAACAATTCTGAGCCTGAAGATGAAGAGGAAGGCTCGGAAAAGGATCACAGCCAGGGCTGTGGAGGGGAGAGAGCACTGAGGAAACGGAACAAGAGACGGCACAAAGAGGTGAGGTCTTGGGCTCCGGGAGTGGGGCGAAGGGGAGGAACCCGAAGCAGGCAGGGTGGATGTGTGATGGGGAAACATGCGGGCTGGATTATGCTCACAGGGACTTTTTCTTAGAAATCTGCTTCCAGAGAACACCTCAGTTTTTCAACACTATCATTTGGAAAATTGCAGGATGGGACAGCAGGAGCCAGTATCACTCGCTGCATTGAAAGGATGTTTCTTGAAGGCTCCACTTCGCCCTTTTTAGTGGGCTGGATGAGTGGGAAGAAGCTTTGGGAAACGCTACTTCAGGGTATTTGGAAGGTCCCGAGGAGCAAATAATAGACTGTGGCAACAGAAGGCCCGTAGCCTTCTGAGCCAGTCGGTACAGCAGCCATCATGGGAATGGAGCCTGGTTTTGTTCATAACGTTGCCATTGTGGTCATGATGGCCTGTAACAAATCACCGGGTGAATTTTCTTTTCTGAGCAGCCAAGCAATTTCAATTCCCAAAGTATTAAATGTGTTAAACGTACACGTTTGTATTATTATTTTCTATTCACAACAACGTTAAGCCACAGCTGCCAAGTCTTTGGCTAGTATTAGCCTACCCACGCATCAGGTTCTGCGTAGGATGCCATAT